GTGAAATGGAATGATAAAGTATCATAATGACTCGTTCACATAAAACAGTTAAAGTAATTTTGTATCGATGGTGGTCCCACGTAACACGGCATCGCGGTATAAGGCCTGTGCCTCTACGACGAGTTTACTGTAACAGTTGTCGCTAGCGACCGTGTAAATGAATTCACACTTGTCATATTTTGTATGACAAATAATACAGCGCCCCTAACGGCCACAAGAATAAATAACATTTTATTTACAAACATTTTACGCAGTCGCTAGCGATAACTGTTATTGTAATCTCATGGTAGAAGCACTGACTGATTCACAGCTTGTCATTTCTTCGGAATTAATATGACACTGATTTGAACTTTAAAGCATTTTTAAAGTAATTATTAATGCAAAGACCAATAAATACAAAGAATTCTCTCGATCTGGCATAACTCGAACCTGTGACAATACGCCAACTAGGGCTTGCCCTAAATTAATAATAATAACGCACAAATTCGTAGCCCCGCCATAGACAACCACAAATTACACTCAAACTGACGATAGAAATAAATGTAGGCCTTACAAATATTTCTTCCGGCCCCGGAATCGAACCCGGATCTCTACGTGGCAGCTAAGCACGGTAACCGTTCGGCCACGAAGACAGTCCTTTGATTGTTTGATTGATAATTTATGTACAGTCACAGGTTCGGGTTCTGTCAGGTCCTAGCAATTTATCTGTGTGTTCGATCTATGTAGTAGTGGAATAATTGTACAAAAATAAATTAGTATCATAGTAGCAAAACATTCTAATGGTCATTACAATCGATATTAAATATAAAATAAATAAAAAATTATAAATAGCCAAAATTGTACTTTGCACAATCGATACAATTCATCATTTTATGTATGTACTTATACACAAAGATTATCGCACGCATATATGTATCGTTATATCTATGAAAAGATTAGATAAATGCGCGATCGATCTGCAGTAAGTCTTGAGGCGTATTGATTAAAAGTTATTCATTTTTCTGGATTATGTACATAATCAATAATATTGTGAATATCCCGTGGATAGTTTTACTACGTCGCGAAGTCATTTTAGGCATTATGAAGTATATAAATAATTTATTATTTGTCACAGAATCACATATTTTCTAAATACGAGTACAAAATATACACAAAATATATCATTATTATGTAGAAATTGATGTATAGTAGTGGACATTTTGGTGGAAAATTGCAACTTTTGGGTGTATTTACATTTTAAAGCATATTATTTATCTATGTATTGCAAACAATGTTAGTACTTATAGGCATTACACAAATAATTAATACGTACAAACATACCCCATTGGGGTATAGCTGCAAATGCCAACCAACGTCATTATAGTTTTCAGACAATGGCGCCTAATGATTTTTTTCATGATTTTTAATGGATTTTATGTCAACTGTTTTTATGTGTTTTTATACTTTTGTTTACTGTCTTTATATATTTTTTTTAATTTTGGAAGTTACAAATCACTAGTTTATGTTTGTAAATGTAGAAGAGAAGACAAGCTACAATTTGGCATTAAAATCTCAATTTTCGAGTTTTTGTGGGTAAACACACCCAACTGCCAATGACAACCCCAGGCATCTTCTTCTTATCGTATCGGTGACATACACTATTTATTGTAGCCCAGAAGTTACTGCCGCTACCCGTGTCACTTAATTGGTAGTAGCCGCCTTTCTAAAATGTGATACATGTTTGTCATCGTGATGAAGTACGATAAGATAGAAGATGATATAGATCACGATGGCGATGACCATAGTCATTGGGTTCTAGTTCCAGTATGAGCCATGATCGCACATTATTTAGGTCCGAGGTGATATTTTCTCTGTTAAAAAATTTCAATATTGATATTACTTATTCTTTTCATCTTCTTCGTATTTCTTAATAATAATTTCCGTCGTCTTTATTTATATATGATACTGTAATGTACTTGTGCACTTCTAGTGTTACTAATGCTGTCTCGACTGCGTACCTCTTAAAAAAAGAATTTTATTTGATCCATTCATTCATTCATTCATGAAGATTGCCTCCTGTCGACGTCTTGTGACCTTTTCAGTATTATGGAGCATTCTGATGTATTCATTCCCATCATTTTTGCCGATATTTTTTTTACCTAGGCTTTTAATAATGTACCTTATATGTTTACATGTCTTGATTACAATGCAATTGAAATTAATTAATCAATTAACTGCCTCTGTGGCCGAACGGTTACCATGCCGGACTGCCACGCAGAGGTCCCAGGTTCGATTCCCGGGCCGGGAGAAATATTTGTATGACCTACACTTGTTTCTCTCGTGAGTTTGGGTGTAAATTGTGGTTGTCTATATGTGTGTCCATGGCACCTGCGACACAGGGTTTCCCTAGTGCGGGGCTATGTTGAGTGTGTGTTATAAAAATAATAATAATAATAATTTTGTTTTTTTGTTAAAGCTGGTTTCACCGTTCCCGGCGACCGCGGTTACTATAGCACTACCAGCTGTTGAATACAACCCTGTTGATTTTACTGAGTGCACAGTTGCTGGATGGGGTGGCATGAATAATAGTGCTGTTGTGAGTATAATGCTTAAGTTAAATATTCGCAGTAGTATATTAAGACAGATATGGTGTCCAGCTAAAAAACTCAAAAGAGACATAGAAATAAGAGAGGCGAAACTGAAAGGGAAGAAGAAAAAATAGTAGTAAGTTAGAAAAAGCTTAATTTAGAAAAAGCTACACCTACACTTCGATCCTAATATCCTAATAACCTAATATCCTATGGGGATACAGATGTGATTGTGTGTATGTAGCTAATTATGCGTGTTGTAAATACGCAAACTACAATTTGTTTTTGTATGAAATGATTTCCGGTGGTCGTATCGAGTATTCTTGTAGGATGTCAAGTTTGAATGCAAAGATAAATTAACTAGACACTTTTATTTCACTTATTTGAGTGTACTTTGCTGTAGTATCCTAATGGTTTGATCTACCGCCTCTCAAGCAGAGACCGTGGTTTCTAATCCGGACTCGCACTTCTGAGGTTTCGGAATTTATGTTCGAAATTTAATTTGAAATTCACCATGATCTTTTCGGTAAAGGAAAACATAGTGATTGTAACGTTCTGTGTGAAGTCCCCAACCCGCAATGGGTTTGCGTGGCGGACTATGGCCTACACCCTCGCCAGAGAGGATACCAGTGTCCAGCAGTGGGACTTATAAATAGGTTGATGATGATGATGAACATTAATATTTGCAAGAAGTTAGTAATATAATAACTATTATATGACGTATTATAATATCCATAGAATTCATAATCGATGTGTTGTCCTACTTTATCCATGATATTATTTTGGTAATTCTTTAAAACTATTTATTAGTTTAGAAGTACATACGAGTACGCATTGCTAGGAGATCCGCAACCAAGAGGTTTGGGTGCGAAAATATCGTTTTAAACTAGCCGAAGAGAAGCTAAAGTGAAATACAATGGATTATATTGGATACACTTTCTAATTGTTATTTAATCTAATTGTTAAGCTATCAAAACTTCAAACAAGGTTCGACTTCTTAAGGTCTTGCAACACGATACTAAAGTGTTCTTATTGTATTTGTCAAAAGTACTTCTCGTATTTAGAAAAAAATATATATTAAAAAAATTGAAAATGTCACTTTTCTGTTAATTATTAAAATTCTATTCTATTCCAATCGATCCTTGATCATGCTTTATAGCATAAATGTTCATAATATGCTGGGGTATTTTTAAAATATTAACAACAGGATTATATTATCATAAACAACAACTTTTGTTCCATGACTTTTTACAAAATATAATAAATTTACCAAAAATAAGCTTTTAAGTTTTTGTTGTGCTATCTTTTATATCTGCATGTGATACAATAAGTTCAAAGGTGCAAGCGTTTTCCGCGATGATTCCTAACCCTGTCCTGCACATGGTTATTACTTTAGAGCGGTCTATTTAAAATCTATTTATTTTTGTATGAAAGTAAAATCTGATAAATTATTAAAAGTCATAGAACCAAAGTTGTTGCTTATGATGTTATTAATGTAGTCGTACGAGGTTGTAGTATTTTAAAAATAACCATATATTTTTATTTTTATACGATTGCTACACATTGGAAACGAAACCATTTTTTCGCATCTTATATTTGTTTTTTTAAACAAGTCTCATGGGCACAGTCGACTGAGTTGGTATTAGTTATCAACCAGCTACATCGAATATCATGATAATATAATATACGTCAACCAAACCATCCCATTCTGAACTGTAGTTACAAACACTATGGACATATTTTGAGAGGAACGCTAAAAAGAGGCTTCATTATGACAACGACATTCATGTATATTATGAAGTACTAGCTATTAAATCTATTTCTATATCGAGTCTGAGAGTGGGGGGTCGGAATACTGTAACACAGGGTAGGAATCCTTAGGATAGGAATAGGAAATCCTAGTACAGGATCCGCTCTCTCACAATCGCCTAACACGTTGTTATTTATGCTTTTGTGTGGACCTATTATAAAATGAAGACCATTATGATTAATGGTAAACAAATAAATGATTATTATTATAATATATGAACCTGGCACTGGCATAGGACAAGGAGACAAGTATCGTAAAACTCCATACAAACGTAGCACCGTGGCTTGTATGTGTGCGTGCCCGTCGCGTGCCATGTACGGACGCATACACTCGCATAATATCGCGACGCATTTGCATCGCCTAGCGCTGGTTTTCCCAGACGCCTTTCATCATCACGAGAATGCGTCTATACACGGCGCACGATTGGCGTCATCATCATCAATAGCCTATCGCAGTCCACTACTGGTAATAGGCCTCCCCAATGCGTGGCATTTCGCCCGGTCCTCAACTCGTCGCATCCATCTGCTGCCAGCAGCATTTCGCAAATCGTCACTCCATCTGGCCAGAGGGCGTCGTACACTTCATTTACTCCACTCAAGAACTCCCTTCCCTCATCGGTTGTCGATTCTTCGACAGATATGGCCAGCTCACTACCACTTCAGCTTGCTTATTCTACCAACTAGGTCGACGACTTTGGTCCTCTGTCGGATAATCTCGTTCCGTACCTTTTCCTTTAGAGAAACTCCGAGCACAGGTCGTTCCATAGCTTGCTAAGCGATCTTTAATTAGTAGCCTAACATGAGAGTCCACGTCTCGGCTCCGTATGTCATAACAGGTAGAACGCACATTGCGGGTATGGGTGAAGAGAAGACTCGGCGTAGTTTATACAAAAACAAGCTGCGCTGTTACGTTTGTATGGCGTTACCTACTTGTCTGGTTAAGCTATGCCGCTGGTCACATATATATACCATAACGTTAATTCGAAACTAAAACACGTAATGTCGTTATTTTTTCAAATTAAATGTGTATGTGGCCAGAGGTTCATAAGAACAATGTTATCATAATTCAATTCTTGCTTTACCGTCCTCGAGTCTTTTAATTTAACTATCTTATTTATAATTTACAAATAATCTTCCTAATATAGTTTCCTTACTTATCAGAAGCATTCTAGCAAATTTCTATTATAAACGCAAGAAAGAATTTTACGAGGCTGGACACAAGAAGAAAAACTTGTACCTACTTAAATTTGAGTTCTTATCTTACGTATATCAAGAGTTGTGACAATTCAAATTCTTTACAATATTAAAACTACGTGCTAATGGGTGACGAATAAGACATTTTCGTTTAAACTCAAAAGTCCCTAGACCTACTTTAGAAGACAATGTTATTTTTGAAATCAGTCAAATGTTTTTGTATTCACGGAAGAGCGCTGGTGTCTGAAATACAGGTAATTAATTATCTAGTTCAGTCACAGAAGTCTTGCCCTAAATACAACACTGCAAGCTTACCACTGGAAATGTGAAATTAGACTGTAACTTTCTGATATAAATAAATTTATTATTATTATTATTATTTCTAATTAATCTTATATTTACAGGCCTCTCAACAACTGATGTTTGCCAGGAAGTACATTTACAATCAGCACATGTGCACATTAGTGTTCAATCCAAATTTACAAATGCTGAACATAATGCCTACAATGCTTTGCGCGGCTTCGTTGAACAGTGTAACTACTTCATGTCAGGTACGTATTAAAATCCAAATTTTAATTACCTGAGAGAGAAGCTAGCTATATTATATTGGATGATTTTGATATTTTTTTTCACCCGAATACCTATGACTAAAATATCAATAATGGGTTTTAAGGTAAAAAATATATTTTTTTAAACTAAGTGCTGTAAACTGTGACTAATGACTCCTACTCAGCTTCCGATAGTATTTATGATAGTAAAAAACTATAGCAAAAAAAAATAATTCGAGAAAAAAATTTCCATACAAAACGCACCACTAACTGTACAATTTTGTAGACTTATTATCGAATCTTTTTGTGCTTATTATGAAGAAATCGTTTTGGGCCAATGTGGCTTAAATGGCTTAAGCATTTATCTTGCAGATGACGGATAGTATTAATCAGCCTTTACATGCTGCTTATGATTAAGTTTTTTTTTAGACAGTTAAGAAAAATTTCATATTTGTATCAAAGTTTTGTCATAATTTGCTGCCCTTTCCCATTCTGTGATGACTGATGTGATGACACATTTTTTTAATTCTATTTTTTTTCAGGGAGACATTGGTAATGCGTTGGTCTGCAACAACACTCTTACAGGGATCTTATTCTATGACCAAAACTGTGGACCTAGTACGTTCCCTGAACTTTATACAAGAGTAAACAACTACACCACGTGGATCAGAACTGTTTCTAGATCAAGTTCCACTTTTGCTCCTGGTGCCTTTATGCTGCTTTTGCTTTCTGTGCTAATATTTATTACTGCCTAAGTTGTTAGTTTGCTATATTTAATAAAGGCTCAGTGTAGCAGAAATGTTTATTTGTTTTACGGACGTATAGTACTTATTTATTTAATTCAGGCAACATGACCTATATACATGACGCCCTTCGGTCAAAACTCCTCCTTCATGAAGGTCGACAGATGTTGACTTGGTACTCTCACCACAAATGAATTAAAATTCACTTTGTGGCGGGACCCGAACCGCTAGACCCTCAGGGTAACATTGACTTTCATACGTATGTACTCCACAATATCCGCACTTTGTGGAGTAATGAAGCCGTGACATGTATAAATAACTCGGTCGGTCCTACTTACTGGACGTAAAGATCGGACAAGACATTTTTTTTCATGTACGACTTTCTTTTCCACATACTTTATTAAAAATTGTAAAAATGTGCATATGAATAAAATCTTTATTGTTATTATGATAATAAATCTTCAAAGTTTTAATCATACGTGCAAATGGTTTTAATATAATAGTGAAAAACGATGTACCTATGTCATGTATCGTCATGAACTATAAATACTTACAGGTTATGATGTTAGATGACAACGAAGCGATAACACTGAACCATTATAATCTTCCAGTATTTTGCTATCGCTCCTCTTTGTGTAAACAAACAGAAACAGGGTAATACTGATATTTTTAAGAACCTAATAAAAATATTATTTACGAAACCTTAGCAGCGGTGGAGAAATGCGAAACCGAGAAAAATTATCGGCCATTAAGGTAAGCGTATTTGAGGCGGGTACAATTTGCTTCTTGCAAAGTAACTAAAAGGTTAAGGGGGTTATAAATTTTGAACGCGTTCATTGCTGCTCCCAGGTCTTATACGACACACGTCGGAATTTCGTAATAAGATTTTCTTAATTTAAGAAGAGCATGTAGCAAGACACGTGTAGTAGAAGACTGTGTTTGTGACCCAATGCTAACGTGTTAGAGTCAACACACGACGCTCAAAATTACTTCACATCACTCATGACAAAATAACGTCAAGTTGACGTATCGGGGCGCTAATGGGCCTACATTTGGATTAGATGTTATTAGGAAAAAGGGCGGTAAATAAAAATATTCGTATTAAAAAGTGAATTATTAAATTAATTAAATTTACGTTCAAAGAGCGTTCAAAATATTCACGTCGTTGATTTTGCTATTTACAGGGTTACCTAGCAGGACATATTACTGACATCATAAACAACACATTTTCTTTTTGACTTGTTACAAAACATAATAAATTTCCCAAAAATAAACTTTTAACTTTTGTTGTATTATCTGACACGTTCCAGGCCTAGAATTTGGTAGTAAGGTAATTTCAAATGTGCGACTGTCATCCCTGAACGACCCTCACCGCGTCGTCCTGCGTTTTGCCCGGAGTTATTTATCACCTTTTAGAACGATTTCTTTAAATATTTTTAGTTTTGTGTGAAAGTAAAATTTGATGAATTATTAAAAGTCATAAAACAAAAGTTATTGCTTGACGTTGTATAGTCCTGCTATTAGATTGTCAATATTTTCGAAATGACTCTGTCTATTTTAATTATAATTATTTCTATTCAGGGTCGTTTCTTTTACAGTGAAATTAGAATAATAGTCAAATCACTTTGCTATAGAAGTGAAAAAGACCCTTTTTATCAAAAGTTGTTTGGGGTACGTCAATTCGACGTTAATATAGAGTTCTTAGGTTTTTGCGATTGTTACACATAATAAATGAAACTATTTTGTCCGGATTTAAGTCACATATATTTGTTTTATCAACCAAACCAATTAGTAAAGGGCCCGAAACGTTGTTTTTTTTGAAAAAACAAATATAGGTACGCAATTTATATCCGGCAAAATGGTTTAATTTCCTATGTAACTTAATAGTAACAAATTTTTTTATGTATAATTATAATTTTTTTATGAAAAAAAGTGCGCGATACCAGGTTCATCACCTAGTTTACCACCCTTAGACGTGGAACACTTTCTCAAAATTCAAATTTGACCAATACTGAGGTACCCTCTTTCTCTACCCAACAAAAAAGAATAATGAAAATCGGTTCACAAATGCCAGAGTAATTGCGTAACATACACACACAAAAAATACAGTCGAATTGAGAAGTCTGTTTTTAGAGTCAGTTAAAAATAGACACACTCTTGGTAATTTCACCTGACTTTAAGCGACAATTGTCAAAAAATACCTAATGACTCTAGTCTTGATACAGCTCTAAATTGTAATTTTCGAGAAACAATTATAAAGTTAAAAAAATGCAGTTTCTGGGGTGAACGAAAGGAATCTCTCCACGTCTAGACGTAGATAAGGTGTACGCATCTAGATAAGGTGGCAGTACTTCCCTGGACGAAATCTTTCACAAGGAGCTCTTTGTAGTTAGAGTAGAGCTTCTACTGTTACTCATAATTCAAGGAAGTCAAATGCGTTTACCGAACTCAATATTACTCGACTAAACGGCTATTCCACATTTACTGCTGAAGACAGACCTTCTATGTCTTGGATAGATCACAGTCAACCCCTTTCCGCGTTACTCGTCCTTTAGTTTGTCTTTCTTTACAAAAAATGTCGAAAAAATTAAACTGAATAATAAACCATCATGAAGGTACGCACTCAATTAGACGTTTCATATTTTATGAAATTTATTTTATTTGGGTTCTTAGCTCGATCAGTGAGAGAGGCGGCTTTGTAAATATATTGTCCATTCAATTATAGAGACCCTTAGGTTTGAATAAGCTTGAAGCTAGCTCGTCAAGGACGCACGTAACAACCTCTTTGAATACGTCGACAAAGGTATCATGTAAGTTTTATAGGAAAACGAAACGAGTAAAATAGCGAACAACGTTGTAACTGGGTAATGTAATGTATTAAAATTTACTACTGCAGGTTCTCTGAAATTTTAGATCTTGTTTTTATGGATAATCTACTATTGGTTGGTTAAAATACATGAGACGTACTATATGTTTCCGGAATGAATAAGAAAAAAATACTATAAATGATCAGAAATGAATTTATTGTTTCTCAAAATATTCTCCGTTAGCGTTAATGCACTTTTTCATGCGAATGAACCAATTTTGAAAACATTTATGCCACTCCTCCGTGACAATCTCTGAAACATATTTTTCATACTCTTCGATAGCCTCTTCAGGTGATGAAAATCGTTGACCGCGTAACTAGTTCTTAATTTTTGGAAATAAATAAAAGTCACAAGGTGCCTGATCGGGACTGTATGCGGGATGGCTCATAAGGTCAACGTTATTCACCTTCAAAATTCATTTGTCTCTCTGGCCGTGTGAGAACTGGCATTATCGTAGTGCAAGATGATACGGCGTTTACGGTTATTTTTACGGAGTTTGTCAATAACTTCCGGCAAACAAATGGTCGTGTACCAATCACTATTCACGGTACAACGATTCTCCAAAGCAACAGTAGCCACGTGTCCAGTTTTAGTTAAAAAAGAAGCAATCATCCGCTTAGAGGCACTTTGGTTGGTTTCGGCTCATCTCGAGAGACCCCATACGTTCGATTGCTGCTTTGTTTTGGGATCGTAACTATCCATAAATAGATAAATCCATTGACGCATTGTATTTGACTCATGCCTATGCCTAAAGATGAGCCGGAATCTCATGGTATGTCACATGCCTGTTTGTTTTGATCTTACGGCGCATAGCATCGATGTTTTTGTTCTTCACAGCAGTGGACGGGCGACCATCACGAAATTCGTCACTGAGATTATTCACATGATGGCGTTTGAATTCTGCAAACCAGCTATAAATAGTCATCTTGCATGGTGCTTCATAGCCAAAAGCAGTTTTAAGCCGAGCGAAGCTTCGCTGAGCAGTGAAATTATACTCAAAGTCGTAGAAAATCATACTACGAAAATTTTCACGAGTTAAATCCATGGTGATGTAGACAACCTATTTCTAAAATGACGCCACAGTGTAATAACAAGTGACTGCCAGATGAAACAAACTGTATTCTACAGCCAAAGAATCCATTTCCAAATGTTTTAATTACTTTTTAAATATTGTTTATGTAAGTGACCAGTTCCGGAAACTTATAGTGCGCCCTATGTAAAATTGATGTTATTTTTTTTAACTATTGCGAAAAGATATAGGTTATTGTACTTATAACCCATGAAAATAACTGGAAGAATGTGTGTGCACGGGTGGCCTAATATGAAGTAGTATATTAAGATTGTAGCAAATGAAGTTATCTGTCTATCTCACTGGAATATAGATGTTGCGATATCTACGTATATTTTTTAATTACATACAATATCATATTTGAACCTAATGTACACCGTTAGATAGATTGTGGCTTTAGAAGTCCCTCGCACAGTATCACACTTCCTCCAGTTTGCCTGCTTTGATCAATTTGTGGTAAATCTGGTTGAGCATCTGGTAATTAATTACACACACCTCTACGGTCACGCCTCGGTATAGGATAATATCAGTACCTACATTATTGACGTCTAAGGGTGCATTCTCATTATGTCGTGACGACATATAGTTGTGCAGTTTAAAGTGTCGCGGCTTCTATATTTAAATGATATTGTTCACATATAGAACAACACGATTAACTGTCATTCATTTAATCGTGTTTAATTAACGGCTTTTTTAACGTTATGACGAGAGACTCGAGACAATGGGAAGAGTTAGAACGACAGTCGTCTGACTATAAATAAAAAGTTACGATAAAGATGTGAAGGCAGATAATTGCAGCTTCAAACGATTTTGTCGTGCAAACTACAAGACGACTGAACTGATAAATTGTCGTCACGATCTAGTGGGAAAAGTTAGACACGACAGTCGTTCAACGATAACATAAACGTCCACTTCACAGTCACGACAGATGGTCGTAGTGTGGGAACAGGCTAGACGCGACAGTCGCCCAACGATAAATAAAACGTTACGACATAATGAGAACGCACCCTTTCTGCGTATTCGTAAGCTTACAGGTAATAATTCATTTAACGCTTTATGCCACATACGTTGAAGTCAAAATTTTTAATAGGGTAGAAAGTCCGAAAACTACATATTTAAGTCATAAATATTACTGTATTATGTATGTTACTAAGCTACCGAAAACTTTTGTGCAAATAAATATACAAAAAATAACCGAATGAAATATTGAAAGTTCCAAAAAATCTTGCAGACGTAATACAAGTCTACCAACTGCATTTATATTTAACCGAAAACGATTGTTAATCCTTTTTATAGTAATTCACGTCTAAGTAACGGTGACCTTATAAATT